TTATTTTGCATTTTAAATAAAAATAGTCTTTGTAATATTCAAAATGGTCTTACATACCGAGATCGCAAGTCAAACTGGTTGTAAGTATTTTTCTATATTTCAAACAAAACAATTAATCACTGATCTCTCAATAAATTGATTATAAATGTATTTAAAAAAGTGTTTTTTTTTTAAATACGTATTTTGAATTTTGTACTTAAATACTTTAATTCAAAAGTATTATATATATTTTACTTCAAACTAAAATATTATCAAACAATTAGCATTTTGAATTTTTAAATACCTTTAATAAACCATTTTTCCCATCACTGCCAAAGGCTTATCCATATTCTCCATCGTTACCAAAACAAATGTGAAACCTAGCCTGTGAAGTTGGAGGATATCAGCCACTTAACGACCGTTACATACTTTTGAAGCAATTTCTCACTTTTTACATCAAAGTTTACTTTGCGCTTTCGTATTTAGCTTAAATATTAGTTTCACAATATATTGCACGGAATATATTGACACAGAAAGCAATTAAGTCACTTAAAAAGTAAAAACTTGCGACATTACCGTGGTCATTTCTAGGACTGAGTCAAATTCAATTACAAAAATTTTATTGAAAATTGCCAACCAGCCTCGAAAAGTAGATAAATAATTAAAGATAACTTACCGCTCCATTGTATTTTCCATGATATCAGATATAATAACTTGTAATTCACAATTTTAAAAGCAAAATTACCACACGTCTATTCAACGAAATCAACGGAACTTCAATGACAAGTTTCTTTTTATTTTTTCTATAGACGGTGCTAGTAGTAACGTATATCATACAGCCAAGTTCATAACGAACATAGTCACGGTCTTATTCCACAGAGAAAGATAAAGAAATAAACGAATTTAGCCGCGAAATGCGACCGTGTAGTAATGGCAGAAATCAGCCAGTCCACAGACGCGCCTTATTTTTTACTGGCTGAAATCAGCCACCTCACAGACGAGAGGTTATAGTTAAAAATTTTTTAGGTATTGTCAAAGGAACTCTGTAAGTTTTATATGGTTTTAATAAGTATGGCTTTAATGGAAAAGCATCATCACCAAGTAAGAATAATCCTTCAGGCAAAAGACCTCTTTCTAATTCATCTGAAATCTGGCAATTTTTAAAAATACCACCATCTGATTGTGACCCTTCGGCACCAACATTATTGTACAGAAACTTGTAGTTAAAGTCGACAACTGCCACTAACACAATACTATTCGAGCCCTTGTAGCTGAAATATTCGCTGCCACAATTTGGAGGGGCTAGTATCAAAATATGTTTGCCGTCGACGGCAGCACAACAGTTTGGAAAGTTCCAATGAGTTTCAAATCCACTACTTATTGTTTTCCAGTTGTTTTCTGAAGCTGGTACCTGCAATCAAAATAAAATAACCTAATTATATTCTTTAATATAATTAGGTTAGTGACCCTTGCTGCTATGCCGGAGGTCGTGGGTTCGATTCCCACCCAGGACCAACGTTTGTGTGATGAGCACGATCATTTGTTCTGTGTCCGGGTGTAATTTATCTATAATATTTATGTATTTAGAAATATATAAGTATGTTTATCAGTTGTCTAGTACCCATAACACAAGTTCTGCTTAGCTTGGGACTAGATGGCGTTGTGTGATAGTTGTAGAATATTATTATTATTATTATGTAGGGTATCTATATAGTTTTCTCATCTGGTTGGGATGTATAAATATATAATTATAAATGAAAATAAAATGATAAATATACATAAATATCAATAAAATAAAATAAATACAAAAATACATAAATAAATAAAAGCCCAACCAGATGGAAGCACTCGGCAGGGGAGACCAAACGGCCAAGGGTTAGGGGGAAAGAGAAAGAAACCGGCGGACGATGCGGGCAGTATCAAGGAGCACCGCCTTCTGCATTTGAGCCCGGAGCGGTCCGTTACAGAGTCCCAGTCGCCTCAGATGACCAGAGAGGCTAACTGGGATTAGCCCATTCGCAGAGACGACTACAGGAATAATTTCGGCCGGCAGACCACCCCACATGACGGTCACCTCGTGAGCCAGGTCCAGATATTTTGGTTGCTTATCTGTTTCAGCTTTCACGAGGTTCTCGTCATACGGGATGGTAATATCGACCAAAAATATCCTTGACTGTGCCCGGTCCATCAGCACAATATCAGGCTTATTCGCAAGAATAGTCCTGTCTGTGATTTATTATTATTGTGGGGTATCTATATAGTTTTCTCATCTGGTTGGGTTCTATAAATATATAATATATATAATATATTATTATTATGTGGGGTATCTATATAGTTTTCTCATCTGGTTGGGTTCTATAAATATATAATTATAAATGAAAATGAAAAGATAAATATACATAAATATCAATAACATAAAATAAATATAAAAGTACATAAATAAGTAAAAGCCCAACCAGATGGAGGCCCTCGGCAGGGGAGACCAAACGGCCGAGGGTTAGGGGGAAAGGGAAAGAAACCGGCGGACGATGCGGGCGGTATCGAGGAGCACCGCCTTCTGCATTTGAACCTGGAGCGGTCCGCCACGTAGTCCCAGCCGCCTCAGATGACCCGAGAGGCTGACTGGGATTAGCCCGTTTGCAGAGACGACTACAGGAATAATTTCGGTCGGCAGACCACCCCACATGTCGGTCACCTCGTGAGCCAGGTCCAGATATTTTGTTTGCTTGTCTGTTTCGGCTTTCACGAGGTTCTCGTCATACGGAATGGTAATGTCGACCAAAAATATCCTTGACTGTGCCCGGTCCATCAGCACAATATCAGGCTAATTCGCAAGAATAGTCCTGTCTGTGATGATGGCCCGGTCCCAATAGAGCCTGGCGCGATCATTTTCGAGCACGGCTTCCGGCAAGTACTTGTAATACGGCAATTTCCGATCCACGAGACCGTATTTCAGAGCGAGCTCCTGGTGTAGAATTCTGGCTACTAGGTTGTGCCTGTGCAAGTACTCAGAGTTAGAAAGCGCCGAACAACCGGAGATAACATGCCTAAGTGACTCACCGGGATGGCGACAAGCTCGACAGATGTCGACGGTGCCATCCTTTAGGATGTATCTCCGATAGTTGTTGGTCTTAATAACCTGATCCTGTATTGCACAGACAAAACCCTCGGTTTCCCCCGAAGAGATCACCAAAGCGTAGCCAGTGGAGGGAGGCTACTGTGTCTACGAAAGGCTCATGTAGAGCCTTGTAGAACCTCCCGTGGAGCTCCTTCTCCTTCCATACGGTCTCCCGGTCGTTGCTCGTTGGCTAAGGATAGAGGGGTAAGTCCTTTATCACAAGAAATGACGTCCTTATAGAATGGATCATCCGATCTCGCCAGGAAGTAATCACGGAGGCTGCACACTTCGCGATTATGCATGGTGAGCGCGCTCAAGAAGCCACGACCACCATGCTTCCGCGGCAAGTACAGCCTCATTACCGACGATCTCGGATGATGCATCCTATGGGACGTCATGGTAGTGCGGACTTTTCTATCCAGGGCGTTAAGTTCAGTCTGAGTCCACCTGAGTATGCCAAAGGTATACATGAGGACAGGCATGACCCAACCGTTATATGCGTGTGCCTTATTCACACCGGACAAAAGGCTGTTAAGCACTTTGGTCAAGCGTGCATAAAACACGTCGCAAACTGACTGTTTCATACCAGCCTCATCGATACCGATGTTCTGTGACATACCCAGGTATCGGTATCTTTCAGCCTCGGAAAGGGTTCTTAAGTTGACGGGCATAGATAAGTCTATGCCCTCAGAGTTAGCAACCCTACCCCTCTCAACATGGAGGACCGCACACTTATCCGTCCCCAGCTCCATTCCAATGGAATTGCTAAATTCACAAGTGATGTTTAGCAATTCCATAAGATGGGAGCGACTGGAGGCGAATAACTTGAGGTCATCCATATAGAAAAGGTGGGTCACTTTTGTCCCTCCTTTCCGTAGCTGAAATCCCCTCCCGGAGCCCTCCAGTAAGGTACTGAGAGGGTTCAGAGAGAGGCAGAACCAGATTGGACTCAGACAATCGCCCTGGAATATACCCCTTCTTATCCTTATGTGGTTCTCCGCAGCCATCATCCGCTCGCCCAGATGACAAAGGATCGTACTCCACTGCCCCATACACTGCTCGAGGAAGTCTCTAACTGTACAGTCTATCTTGTACAGCTCGAGGACTCTCTTTAGCCATGTATGGGGCACCGAGTCGAATGCCTTTCTGTAATCTATCCAGGCGGCGGAGAAGTTCCGACGGTTGCGTTTCACCACTTTGCCAATGACCGCGTCAATGAGGAGTGGTTCCTTGGTTCCACGACCACCGCCCCGACATCCATTTTGAGCGCGCGACATCACCTGATTTGAGTCCAGGTGACGAGCGATTCTCGCGCTCAAAATGGATGTTAGTGTCTTGTATATGGTCGGTAGACACGTGATGGGGCGGTATTTGCTCGGGTCTGTGGCACCCTGGTCTTTAGGAACCAAATGAGTGATCCCAGTAGTGAAGAGGCTTGGGAGCGACTTCTGGTTGAGAGCCTCTTGAAACTGTCGGGCGAGCACAGAGTGACACACCATGAACCCCTTCAGCCAGTAGTGATGCAGCCCGTCAAGCCCCGGACTTTTCCAGTTCGGGGCCCTACGGACCGCCTCAGCTACGTCATCCGGCGTTATGATGACGGGGTCCATGGGCGTAATACCCGCACACTGACTCGCCACAACTTCCGTCCAAGGGCCCTCGCTGTGGTTTACGGGCTGTGACCACAGGCCGCGCCAGAATGCGACCGTGTCGGCCTGATTCGGTGCAGGGCTCGTTCCACTTACCATTGGTCGCTCCAATGATTCATAGAGCCTCTTCTGATCACTCTGGAAGAGACGATGCTGGTTGAACCGTGTCGACCTCTCGGTATATCGCCGAATCCGTTTTCCCCAAGCAGCGATTCTTTGCTTCAGGTCATCTATGCGCTCCGTCAGTTTTTGCATTATATCCGGCTGGGACAAACTGACATTTGTCCCAGCAAACGCCATCCTGACGGTGCGCACAATTCTTGGCCTCCTGATCTGAAGCATATCAGTCTGCCGATGAGAGCTCTAGCCTTTGCGATACATTCCTCAATTCTTCTTCTCCATGCTGGGATAGCGCTACTTTGTCCAGTAGCGCGTCCAGCCGTGGAAAGCTTGGCACCTATAATACGGCAGACTGCCAGCGCGGCGCCAAAAAGAATTGAGTCCGTCTCGCAAAGGTCCCGGCTGGCTTCCAAATAGGTCACCAGCATTGGGTTCAGAGCCCTCACGACAGCCCGATTCCGCTTGCTTAGGGCTATGCGGGGAAGTCGCGGTCGATTTTCGAGAGTCGTACTGCGCGTTTCCACAATCGCCTCTTCCAATGTACTCCTCATATGCTCTAGTTCCAGTTCCTGGGCGACTGTTCCATCATCGTTTGAATCAACCACAACTGGGGTATTCACGGCGGCATCCACATTTGCCGTTTGCTCTGCAAGTTGTGGCGCCGCATCCTCAGCCGCAGCATTCTCACCCGACGAGGGAACAGCCTCACGTCGTAGCCGTTCGAGTTCGGCGACATCAAATATATTTGAGCGCAAGATATGCCGAACTCGGTCTGCCAGGTTTTGCTCTGTGACGGTTACAGATGGCTCCAGCTCAGCAAAAAGTCGATGCATCCTAGCCCGATACGCAAAACCTCCAGTTTCTCCCCCTTTCGCCCTAAAATACGCCCGCAATGCGTTGCTGTTCATCTGGGTTGTCCAACGCATGCGGCGTACTACACCAGAGGCGGGTGCCGATTGCTGAGCCCGCGAAGACCCTGCCGACACCAAGCCAGCTGGTGGGGATGATGGATGCGAGGAGCTGCTGGGTGGTCGTGCAGCACCTCGCGCTCGGCTGGCGGTTCGCATGCTGTCGCGTCCAGCGCCAGCTCCAGACGCGCCCTGGCGACCTCCAGGCAGCGGCCCTTTGCGCGTTCCATTCGTATTCCATCATCCATATGTTAGGGCGTCATTTAGCGGGGAGACGCCCAGACCCGGCGCCGTTTCATGGTTAGGCCATGTGCACAAGCGGGCCTTTGGCACCTTCAATTTTTGCCGAGGCACGGCACTAACACCTCTTGGCAAGGTGCTGACTGACTGCGCCGACGTAGCGGTTTTGTCACATAACCGTTACATCAGCGGGCGATGGGGTCGTCACTTCCCTACGCCTTATTATTATTATTATTATTATTATTACAGAATGCAATATCAGAAAACGAAACTGAAGTCTCAACAAATGCACATGATCCACAACCATCGTCAATCTCAATAAATGATTCACAAGAGCCAACAACCAGTACTGCACAAAATATTGAAGATTCACAGTCAGCGCCAATTCAGATAGCTCCAACATTAAAAGGCAAGGAAAAAGGAAAGACATCCAAAAATAAGAATTTACGGAATCTTGCTTCTTAATGAAGTACGCAAAGTGCATGATAGTTTACGCAGTAGCAACGACATAATTACAACTCCCGTTGGAGCTCAAAGTGCCAACAGTGCGTTTGGCTCATATGTCGCTTAAATGTTGGACAAAATGTCATTCGAACCATCTTTACTGGCACAAAGTGAAATATAAGCAATTTTGGTCCAGTTTTTAATACCGCCTTAGATCTCAAACACATTTAACGCAAGTACACCTTCACACACACACACACACACACACTCAGTTATGACTCCCCGACCGCAACGCGAACAGCATAATGTTTACGTACCGGAAACCCTAGTTGCTTCTCAGTTAGTCTTGCAGAATGATGTAGTTTATATACAAGAAACTCAAGATCCTTCTCAATCAATCTTGCAAACTGATGGCAATGTTGAAACTCAAGATGTTTCACAATTTTATTTACAAAGTGAAGTTGATGATCAAGAAACCCAAGAAGCAACTCAATCAATCTTATCCCAAGCTTGGAATTCTACAAATATTTAGTCTAAGTTCAAATACTGATACGTGTTTTTCCTACATTTTTTTCTTATTATAAATTTACATAGAAATAATGTTTTTACTAAGCATCTAATTTCAACTATTTATCGACTAAATATCTATATAGATTGCCGGCTTGCCATTTGTTGGTATGTGAGTCGATGTGGTGAAGCACACCAATAATATTGACTCCAACTGATAAAAAAAACTTACCTTGATATACCCATACAGGATTTCGTAAATGGCGTCACAAACTTCAGGAATGAATTTCGAAATACTGCATTTAGACACTGTTATGATTCTGCAACGACCAGTAGTTATCTCCTGTAGCTAGGAAATTTAAAGTTATTTCTAATTTTATTCGTGGTGTTAATGCCATCCTCATAGTAGTATCTTGTTTCTTAATTTTCGGACCGACCTTTTTGAGCAAATCCTTAAACATTTCTGGCGTCATCCTCATAGTTAATCTATATTTTATTTATTCTTTTACGTCCTCTGCTGCTGACTCTTTCAAAAGTAGTACTGAAGCCCCTCGCTCATCCCTTCTCAATATTCAATCTCTTGGAAATATTCTCTTTTTCCTATTTTTCTCTTCTTCAAGAGCCTTCGTTACCTCCTTCAATAATAAATCTGTTAAGTTTATTAGAGCGTTCCTTACTATTTCTCGATGAGTAGTATTGACGTTCATTGTTCTAGCGTTTCTTACCGAGTGACTTAAAAGCTTTACTCTACTAACAAAATGAAAATTTACATGTAGACAGTTACTCTACTAAAACTGGTAGAGTACTGAGAACCGGTAGAGTAGTATGCTAGTTCACTCTACTGTTTACTTTACCCGTGTCCAGCAGCCTTAAGGGCCGCGGGTTCGAATTCCGCACGAAACAAGTATTTGTGGCCTAAAATTAATTTCTCCAGGTCTGGATGTTTGGTCTCGTAAAATGTTTGTGTGTAAACTGCCTCTCGTTACGGGAGAAAATCCTAGTGAAGAGGTTACATTAATAAATGAGTGATTGTGGGTATATTTTAACAATAAACTAACTACTAAATGAAGATATGGACTCCAAGCCATCAAGGTAGAATTATTTAAAATAAACAGCTACCCACCTCCTTTTCAATAATTCCTGTTCTTTCAGGTTGTAAGTTTATTAAGACTAACAAATCTGTTATATTACTTTTATTATTCAATTGAATGTTGATTTAAATCAACGCTGTTTATTTAGTTTTAAATATTTTATTTAGTTTTCGTAGTATGTGTCTATTTTTATAGTACTAATTAGCGAAATACATTTTTGTAATGTTTTAAGCATACCGTACACATGATATATTTGATAGCCTTGCAAATTGATCGAGGGCACACAAATCGATTGAGTTAGGAAAAATAAATGGTTCGCGTCACAGATTTTTATTCTCTTTATTTATATTTATATAAAAAACAATTGTACAATCTTATTACTAAATGTAATACAATATATTATATGCTTAATATCCATACAATCAAAATCGTTATTCAAATTTTCACATTTTTCTATGGGGTGAGTTTTATCTTTATTGCATAATTAATATTAAGTACACACGATAATAATAAAAACTAAATTAAGCTCACAATTATGTACTTTACAATTATTAGGAAGCTACTGACATCTAAACTAGGTAGAGCCTGTATCTTAAGCCCGGTTTACATTTTGAGAAGTGACAAGTGCGAGTGACAATGACAAGTGACAAATTAATGACAAGTGCTTAGTGCGTGTGAACAGGCAGGGATAAGTGCGAGTGACAAGTGATAAGTACGAAATGAAAAGTAACAAGTGAATAGCGGCCTGCTCTATTCTCTGACAAGTATCTCTGCCCCGCACTAACCTTGCTTTCCCCTCAGTCATCAACCGCCGCCCCCGTTGTAGCGGTGACGTCAGAACATACACGTGTTGGTTATAATAGTTATTAAATAAAATATTTTTGTTATATATATTGTATACATACTCGTATTTATAATAATTTTGTTTTATTACGAAGTGGTCAGATAGCAATAGCATCAAATTTGACAAAGAATTATTGAAACACGAATATTTATACAATATTAAATCGCTGAATTTAAAAAAATAAAATGATGCGAGTTGCTGCTATGCCCTCAATATCTCAAGCAATGGGAATGGCCGGTTTCGGCGCAAAAGAAGTAGGTATATGCGAAGTTAAGAAGTATTAAATCTACATATTACCAAGAAAAGAAGAAAATTAAAGACTCCTGTAGGTAAGGGTCTGAAGTCATATTATTTTCTGACTTAAATTTTTTCCTTGTTATAGCTTTAAGACACATTTTTCTCACCTTAGCGTTTTTAGGAAATTGGTGTGCAATATATTTGCAATAAGGCACTTCACACATCTTTGGTTAGGTATCTCATCATACAATTTTACCTTTTTTTGATTAAAGTTTTAAACTTTAAAGCTACTCTGGCGCCACTTTGATAATTACCAACCCAATTTCACACTCGAAGATTTCACGTAATAATGACATCCACTTGCCACATGTGTGAACACCAACTTGCTATTTGTCACTTGTCATTTGTCACTTGTGATTGCCGCTCGCACTTGTCACTTCTCAAAATGTAAACCGGCCTTTAGATGTCAGTGTACTCCCATAGTACAAGGGTTTAAGTACTGAGCAGTGAGTCAACAATTTTAACTGATAAATGTAATATTTTACTATCAAGTCCACAATAACAAATATATATGCTTATGCGCGCTCGCGCGTCTCTCTCTCTCTCTCTCTCTCTCTCCGGTGTGTGTGTGTGTGTGTGTGTGTGTGTGTGTGTGTGTGTGTATGTGTGTTTGTGATTTATTTGTATATGACGTGGGATTATGTAACGCTCTTTTTATAAATTTATAATATCCTATATTGATATTATTTTTCATTTTATTATATATATATATATATATATATATATATATATATATATATATATATATATATATATATATATATATGATGTAAAGAAGAGAGGAGACCAATAACTATAAAATTTTACCTACTCAAAATTATCATTCCTTCTCATAACCTTGAACATAAACATAAACATAAACACTCACGCCTGTCACCCAGAGGGGTAGGCAGCCCTCTGGGTGACAGGCGTGACCTCTTTCACCTCCTTTACATCCATATATCTACGCATACATGCTCGTCGGTTAAGGGTACTTCTAACGTCGGCCCATTTTCAAAATATCGCCAATTTGGTCGAAAAACTTTTCTCTAGGGCGTCCCTTCCCGACTCTGCCGTTCACATCTGCCATATAAATTTGCTTTGTCACTCTTTCCTCATTCATTCTTTCTACATGACCAAACCACCGAAGCATTCCTTTCTTAATCCTTTTTGACCATAATGCGTAGAAAAGCAGCGTCTCTCCTGCAGCGCTTACGTACCAGCAACAACGGCATCCTAAGGGTAATGGGAAAATATTGGGCGAAAAAAATAATTTGTACATAATTCACATTAACTAACAATACTAACTTAGAAGTCAAGGAAAATTGTTACTAACATACTAACAATCTGTGGATGTTCCTTACGTCTGAAATAAACTTTTTTTTATTATTATTATTTTGGGTTATTGATAGAGTAATCACATCTGGTTGGGCTGGATAAATACATAAAATAAATATACTTAAATATATATTTACTATACTAACATAAATAAATAAATAATACATAAATAAATAAAAGCCCAA